TTGGCGGGTTGAAATGCTTGGCCCGGCCCGCCAATTTTTGGCGGGCCAACGGGCCGGCCCGCGGGCCATGGCCCACTTTGCCATCTCTAAGTAAAACAAGTACACTATTGCTAACTAAGAAAAACTGAATTATTAAGGTCGTCTAATAGCGGATAATTAGAGTAATATGTCTAAGTTCTAATTTAATGTCACTGATGTAAAAAAAATTAAAAATTAAAAACTATTGTAAAAAAAAAAAGACAAATAATCAATGTTAACATTTAATGGTGTGTTACAACTAATAGGCTAGCCTGTAGTAGACATTTTTGGACACTCTCCAAACTTTACTTGAAAATGACAAAAGGGGTTTTCATTGTAAAAAATTTTGTTCAATTGTAATTTGTTAAACATGAACATGTTTAATTAAGAGAGAAAGGACATAATTTTTTCTTTTAGAGTGAGAATTTCATTTTAAAGCTGAGTTATTGTTGAGATAAAATTTTCAAACATATATGACCCCATTTAAACATAATTTTAAAAAATTAAAACCGTTCAAAATAAAGTTTAAAAACTCTTGTCCTAACACACAACAGTGTTTCATGCCTTGTGCGTGTGCCATTTTTTCTATTATTCAAAATGTGAACAGTCAACCATACCATTTTTATTCGGTATTCACTCGTTTCTCCCTTTCAGGTAGAATTCAATTGGTCAAAATGTTACTATGGTACAATACAGACAATTGAAACAAACCATTCTCAGCAAAAAATACTTAAAAATAATAATAGCTAGGTTTAATAGAATTATTAGGTTTGACTATTTTATTGTCAATTGAGTCTAACATTTTGAATAGTCTTTCAAAAGGACCGGTGTTAGTGTAAACTTTTTCGGCTCATTCAGTGTTATACTATTCTTGTTGGGCATCAAAGTTTTGACCCAACGCAATTAGTGGACATCCCATCAAGATTCCTTTCTTTGAACGTAAAGTTGCATAATTACTATTGTAATTATCACAACAATAGGAAACAACCCCATGCAGGAAATATAGTTGGCTACTCTTGTGCTATTTTCCACTTTTTTCGTATAAAAATACCAATACATCTCAGCAAATAAGAAGAAAGCTACACATATTTCAGGCAAATATGCAAGTGATATGGCCACTTTTACCTTCTTTCGGCTGTGTCATCTACCTCGCCTTTATTTTCCTTAAAATGATTGTTAATGCATTAATTTTCAGGTAGTAAATATCAAGTAAAAGAAGTGCATGAATTGACCTAAACTCCTACCCCTACACATACATTGCTCCTGCACACAGGAAGCTGGTTTGATAACATTTATGATGTAAACCTGAGACAGATAGAATAAATCGTTGTCTTTTTCACTCTTTTGGTCAAGTGAAGCACGCAGCCAATGTTAGCAAAAAATATTCCAATTGACTATATGAAAATACACCCATATTAAACTAATGCTCAAATCAGGCAATATGCTATTTAGTTCCTTTTCATCTTAAGACATAACAATGACAGTTTATATACATTGGAAATGTATTAAGAGATGAGAGCAACTAGTTTTGACTATACAATCCAAATGAATGGCCAAGATTAAATTTAGGTAAAATAATCTTCACTAATCAAGCATGCTTGGATAACTAATAATTCAACAAATTGGTATGAGTAGAACACTTCATAAACAAATTTGATTCGGGTCTTATAAATAGAAAAAAGTAATTGATTTAATATCATTTTATGATGTAAACCTCAGACACAGAACAAATCATTATGTCTTTTTCACTCTTTTGGCCTAGTGAAACACGCAGCCAATGCTTGCAAATATATCCCAATTGACTATCCGAAAATACCCCCATATTAAATGGTCAAATCAGGGAATATATCCTATTTATTTCCTTTTCATATTGAGAGATAACAATGACAGTTTATATACGTTGGTAGTGTATTAAGAGACAAGAACAACTGATTTTGACTATACAATCAAAATGAATGACCAAGATTAAATTTAGGTAGAATAGTCACTAATCATGTATGTTTGAATAACTAATAAACCAACAACAAGCAGTCAATCTTTGTAGAACAGAACTTAATCCCTTAAACAAAATCTCTAGTTCGAATCTTGTAAATAAAAAAAGTATTAGAAGGGAAAACTCTACTAACAATAGCCAGTCGGATTCTCATTGGTCATTAACAAAGCAAATGAAGATTCTCATCGAATAACATGATTATAAATAAAATAAAAACTAATATTAACTCATCTCTCAAGCTCCGTAGACACACTCTAGCGTCTTGGTACAAGTAATTTGCTCCCGCGATTTATTTGCACAACACTTGGTTTGATTATATCAGGGTCACGTAATGTTAGGACCCACATTTATTTGCACAACACTTGGTTTGATTTGTATTTGACCATTTTCCCCCCTAACTTTTTTCACGATGATGATTAAAATCTCAACACTTAAATGTATCCAGAATAGAAAAATAACCAAATTTTAATTTTCTATTGCCCGATGTCAACAGCCACTCATTTTGTATACTGTACTGTACAAAGCCTACAGAAAGAATATATACACGAGATCTAAAGTTTCAAAAATATTTTAGCAACAACACATGACAACCAATATATTACTCTGAACAGAAGCCTGGAATCACCAATAATCTAGCAATGCAAACTTCACCTGCAATCCAATTTTACCACCATCAGTCACAAGCTTGGCAGCTGTTACCAACCAATGGCCAGGAGCATCATGAGGGCCTCGCACAACCTCGGCTGTCTCCACGTATTTAAGTAGTTTACTGGAACGAACCGGCACAGGTGGACCATCTGGATAAACTCCAGAGTTAAGTGCAGTTGGAGCCTGTTTTGGAGGACCAGTAGGGCTCTGCTGTGTGAATGAAAATGTTGTGCTCAAATTTGTGAGAAAAGATGACTTTTTTGAAGCCTCTGGTGCAGCGGTCCACTCAGATTTTCGGATACTGCAATTGGATATATGAGTAAAAAGAAGACGCAGATGAAGCACATTCCTTGGCCAGCTCCCTCTGCTAAGGAGTTGTGCACCAGTAACAATATAAACACCTCCAGAACTATTCAACCAGTTAGGATCATGCTTAACCACTGCTGTGCACACATTTGAGAACCTCTTCCATCTGATTCTTTCCAAAAATTGATCGCTGGATCCACTATCATCAGATCCTCGCCACATACATGGCATGCTCGATGTTGAGGTTCCTGAAGAGAGGATCATTTTATTTGGTAGGCTTGAAAGATGTTGTATGTGTAAAGCAAGTCTGTCACATTTCTTGCCCTCCAAGTACAAGCGTAGGCCAACCACTGGTTTTTCTTCACTTACAACCTGACATTTTGTATAAAATACCATAATTAACAAGAGAATATTCGTGAACTATAAGAATAAAGGATTGATAATTCAACATAGCTGCTAGGCAGAGACAAGATGAGAGGAGATAATAAAATGAGTGAAAATCCTTACAAAGCTATGCAACACATATGATGAAGAAAACAGAAAGAACCTTAAATACACTCACTGGTCACATATTATGACATATTGGAACTGAGTGCATTTCTGAGTTCTCCAAGAATATCACATCAGAAAATTATTAGAGATGAGCAGAAGCTCACATAAGGTCCAGAACCAGAAGCATAGGATCCACTAATAAATATAAAACATACAAAACTATAAATCATCCAAACTTCACAGTTCACACTTTTCATTTGCATAGAAATCTGCCACTTCCACTGTAGTCAGACGAGAAGGGATCAGTACTTCTTTTGGTTGAGGCACACCCTTCTGGATCCTTAGGTGCAACCTGCTGGCCCAGGCAATGCAGGGCTTTAGAGTCTTATTGATAAGTAAACAACCCAATAAAGCCCAGTCATATAGCTTGGAAACTCTGATGCTAAAGGGGTACAATAGAATTAAAAATTAACTAGCCAGTCTTTGAGATTCTTTGAAGAAAGCAGCTTGGGCATCTGTAAATTGAACAGTTTAATATGTGTTTGGTTTAGCTTATTTTAAAAAAAATAAGCGCTTATTTTTGCTAACTTTCTTATGGAGCTTTTAATAAATAAGAAATTATTTATCCTAAAAAAGTTTTATCAAACACTTAAGTTTTTCTTTTGTTTTCTATGAATATCTAAATATTCCACTGTTTTCTACTTTTCTTCTTTTTTCTAATGTTGACTCTATGTTCAGTGATGCAAGTGCTTTTAATGTCTTTGCTTCCAGATGTTAAAAATTCCTAGTTACGTATGGATGTCTTTTGCCTTGAACTACCTTGACCACTTCATTGGAAAGATAAATGCTGCCGGAAAAACCAAACTTAACAGTTAATTAGACAATACAGTGCAAATGTGGATATCTTTCATCTACCTAAAGATCCTAAAGCTATTTAAAATTCATTGCCTAACATGTAAGGTGAAAACAAAAATATAGAAATTAAAAGAGGAAATGACTACAAACAAAAATAATAGGAGGAACTGACTACCGAGGAGGCCAACCTGAAAGACTACAGTTACCAACAACAAAAGCCTTCCCTCAAATCCTCACTTGGTGAGATCAACTACATGCATCTTTATGTTTCCTACTTAAGCCAAATAAAATATGAGAAAATTTTGAAATTCTGTTTCTTGAAGTTAATTTTTCTCTCCTTTTTCTATTTATTTCCTCTTTAACCAAACAAAAGAAAATGTATCGTTATATTTTCTCCTTAACCAGACTTGAACTAAAAAATGAATCTCATCTTAATCCTCATTCAATTATCCTTCCCTATAGTTTCATAATATGGCTCATAAGCTTAATCCCTCTATATCTGGGTCAATTCTATACATCCCCCTTATTCAATTACCATTTCAAGTGGTTGCATAGTACAACTTATAAGCTTAATCCCTCTATATTTAGTGAAATTTAGTACATCTTTGATAAGTAAATATTAAACTCAAATCTAAGAGTAAAGTCTAACACATACGATACTTGCTCAAACACAGAATTTGGTTAACAGTACCTGTGTAGAGATTACATGAAGCTTTGGACCCATGAAACTAAATTGAAGGGATGGGGAAGCACTCTTTTTTCGCTGATGCCTGAGCGGAAGCTCACAAAACATGGGTGCCCATTGCCTTGGAATTTGAAACTCCAAAAAGTATTGTAAATCTTCAGGAGAAGGTTTATCTACAGAGAATAAGTGACTCAATCAGTACAGAAATTAAACAGTGGTATGTGCAGGAAGAGATTGCTTGGAAACTTTGTGTGTAGAAAAGCAAAACATACAAAAACAGTTTAAGAACCAAAACATATTAGTTTTTCGGGGAAAATTTGGGTTGGCACCCTTCAACTTTACACTACACACAGTTTGTGCCTTCAATTGAAAAAGAGATACAAGATGGTCCTTAGGTTTCCAAACATGTGTAAAATGTTCCATGACTGGAACATGGCATATTTAGCCAGGAGTTATACAGTCGCGTGAGAGGCACATGTTATGAACAGATTGGGAAGTCAAATGACCATCTTGCTTGTTTATGTTTGAGGACTAAAATGCACACATAAAGTTGAAGGGTGTAAATTGAATTCTTCCTCAAATCTAGATTTTATTTTAGAGCTTATCAACGTCATGGTAAAAATATATAAAGTGTAATAAATGAAATGGATTTGAAGAGATGTAGATTATAGTATAATTGTTGAATCTGATTGAAACATACATCGTAGATACAGATTGATTGCATGGCTAAGATATCCACTTCCAGGAATTCCTGTCAGAAGTGAGGAAATAGGAACAAACTTGAAGAGGATTGCTTCAGGATTAGAAGGCACTGTCTGAAGCCAATTTGAGTGACTGTGCTTGAACATATCTCCTCCTCTTTTTGAGCAAATAACAGTAAGGCCCTGTTCCAAGATAAGCCATAATGTCACAACCTAGAAAATTTCTTTGTTTCAAATTAAAATTAATTCCCTTTGGGGGCTTACATCCTTGCTCGATGTTTCTGAAATGCTAGTGAACTGCATTGTGTTTGACTGCATTACACGGTTAAAGACCTCTGGGACCTACATAAATAGAGATTGCATCAACAGAAAAGTAACAAATATGTTAAAAGTTACAGAAGATAAGGCATTGGCACTATACCTTCTGTTTGCCATCTGCTGCCTTCCTCTGTAGTAAAGAAGGGCTTCTCACATCTGAGAATAAAAAATCACCAAGATCCTCTAAATGTCTTCTGAGATCGCCAGGAGGAATCTTTGAAGAATGTTTTTGTTTGACACAGATCAAATCTTGACCTCCGACAGCCATACCCACTATTATGTGTGTGCCATATGTCTGGATGAACCTGCCTAACAAAATTGATTAGTATTGTTACTATTGTATACTTATCAACCAGAAATTTGTACATCACTCGAATTGTCAACATCAGTTACTCCGCCAAACAATTTCACATAAAACATTCAAACACGAATACACCAACTAGCATAAACTGATACAAGTATTCTCTCTAAAAGGTAATTCGAGCCTTGTGCCAAGGGTAAGAAAACACTACATTTTTTAATCAACATGCTCTTGGATACCAAACATACTAAACTTGGCAGGATGGCCAAAATAATGAAAGAATAAAAACCAGCAACAAATTGAATCTGTCTATCTACCAAAGATTGTTGTAGCAACTTAGTGTTTACCTAGACAATGAAGCTGGATCCCAGTGAGCAGGAACAGACTTCTTTACCTCCTCTTGCAGTACGAGTGGAGAAGCAGTGAGGTGCAAATAGTAAAGTGAAATGAAATAGCCATCAAAAGCGAGATATTTGGTGTCAGCAGCATCCCGAAACCAATCACCACTCAAATCAAAAAGCGCGTTAAAATAGCCAGAAGGAACTTTCCCTTGCACTGCTGATTTCTGATTAAGCAGCTCAGACATCTGCAACAAGGAGAGAAACACACACTTACTAAAAAAATGCACCAAAACAACACAGATCTATAACAGTAAAACACTAAAACGTAAAGAAGAAGAAGAAGAAGAAGAAGAAGAAGAAGGGGAAGGAGAAGAAAAGGGACCTGGTTGAATTCAAGTACATCACTCTTGAAGCGTATTCTATCCCCTTTATCACAACGAATATTCTCAGAAACCCCCTTAATGGTAACTCCTCCAGTTCCAGGAATCAAAATATCCCTCTTGTTCTGTTCATCAAGCACCACCAACCTCCCTCTACGAATTCCCTTTGCAAACCTCAAGCGATAGTCGCTGGCCAAATCGAACCCTTTTCCCAAACTCTCCAATGCCACCATCTCAACACCCTTCTCCACCGCCATATTCACAACCCGAAAATCAGTTCAGGGATTCCAAAAAAGAAACCCCAAAGAAGGATAAGAGTTAAGGTGACGGTGCCAACTGCCAACCAACCCCAAATCTTATGGGTTAGCTATGCCATGTGCGGTGTGGGCCAAAATAGAAAAGGTGATGGCTTTGGTGGTTTGGGGGAAATGGGTATTGTTAGATGTGGACGGAAGGTTCGGGGAAGAAATGGGATCAGTGAACGTTACGCAGCTTTTAATAAGTGAGAGTGAAAGAGTGGTTTGGTTTGGTTTAGAAGAGAAGAGAGGAAATAGGTGAAATGCAATGCAAGTGCAATGGGTTGAATGTAAATTGTTCGAGTTTGACTGTGTCAGTGGTGTTATTGTGAAAATGGCAAAGAGATTGTGAAAGAATAATATTTATGTTTGAAATAATGGGTTCTGGCAACTGAAGCTTGTCATATATTTTTTTAACCAGAAAGATTTAGGTGAATGGGGGTGTCACTAAATTTTATTAAAATTGAAGCAAGTATCAAATTTTATAACCAAGAGAGGTTAGATCTAACTTAAGGGATTAATAAACTAAAGTTCTCATCCCCGTTGAAACAAGTATTCGCATATTTAGTGCAGGAGCATCAAATCAAACTCATTCTTGTTCTCAGGAGAGTATATTATTTTTCTTTTAATATATAAATTAGTAGAATAAAAAAACACTCACAATATTTTAACTACTAAAACATGTTGAGATCACTAAATGTCCACTTAAAAATTTACTACACAAGTTTGAAATGCAAATAATTTCATCTAGTTGTAGCTACTTCAATAATTCATGTATGGCAGAGATTTTTCTGAAAAGGAATATCTACCAAACGAAGTGAGAGAGATTGGTGAAAGAGTATGTTAGCGACTGAAAAACCTTTGTGAAGGTTGGTGACGTGTATTTGCCGTTACTATAGTTTACTCTCTATGTATTGGACTTGACCTACTACTTTGAATTTATGAGTTTTGGTCTTTAATGGCAACAAATGGAACGCGAGCAACCGTGAGGGAAAAGGGAGGGGACCGTCTCCCATGTTTCTTCTGTCTTCCTCCTTCACGCCCACGCCCCACGCCCCACGGGACACACATTTTAAAATCGACTAAACCCTTAATTTGATCTCTTATAATATTTTAAAATTTTAATTTAGTCTCACTTTAATTTTTAGGTTCAATTTAGTCTTATTTGTCAAAAATGCTAACAATATTTGCTTTCCGACTAAATTTTTTAACGTTGTTTAAGAGCCGTGAGAATCATGTCCGTGATTTTAAATCACGACCGTAATTTCCACGATGTGAATTACATAAAAAAAATTTGCTAAGTAAGAGCCGTGAGAATCACAATTACATAGACACTCTTAAATTAAATTTAGACGGAAAGAAAATATTACTAACATTTTTTATAGGTAGAATTAAATTGAACTCAAAAATTAAAATAGAACTAAATTAAAACTTTCAAATATTATAAGGGACTAAATTAAGGTTTTAGCCTTTTAAAATTTGACCCTTTTTTCGTGTCTATATAAATTTACTTAGATTTTTTAAATAAAAGTTTTCACAATTAAAATATCATATCTTCTTTTTTATTATTTAAATTCTCTCATTTTTTTTAATTAAGAGTTAAGATTTCGTTAGATGTAAATGTTACATGAGAATTTTTTTTTTAAAGATTATCAACTTTTGTAAAAAAAATTGATTAATTATTTGTATCGAAGATTTTCTTCGCAATCACGTTTTTTTTATATTTTATAATAATGATATACATACAATAATTTTTGTGAAATGCCAATTTTTAATATTACCTATTTCCATCGTTAATAAATGTAGAATAATAAAATATGTGCAATAAAATCACACAACATAACTTTTTGAAACAATGAATGAAGTACAACAAAGTGTAATAAATAAAGTGAATTAAAAATTTGAAGAAAAAAAATGATTTGTATGTTATTTTACAATTTTGCACATATTTTTGCTTATAAATGTAATAAATAATGTGACGGAGAAAAAAAATTAAATAATATTATATAAGTTGTTATACAATTTTATTTTACAAGTCATTTTATTTTTTTATAACAATACTTGAATTCAAAAGTTTATTTAAAAAATAAACAAATTCAACTTCATTAACAATCATTCTCATGCGCAACTAAGTAATGAATTTATACAATTATACCTACCTATTTATCCGTGTGTTTGATATTAAAATAATTTTTTTATATCAACATGTTAATTCGAGTAAAATCGAGTTCAAATTTATATATATATAGGAGGGATTATTTTACTCTAGGAGTAAATCTACCTATACTTACTTCATTCAATAACTCATATTCTACATCAAATTTTAATGATCCAACCGTTCAATTTAAAGTTCTTAATGCATTGATCAAATCTGAAAATTTTTAAAAAATTTGAAAATCATTTAATACTTCATTTCATTAATTCGAATCAATGTATAAAATGATTTTATGATTATTCATCAATTTGAATTAATAAAATGAAGTATCAAATGATTTTCAAACTTTTTAAAAATTTCCAGATTTGATTTATGCATTAGGAACTTTAAATTGAACGGTTGAATTGTTAAAATTTAATATAGAACATGAGTTATTGAACGGAATAAGTTTACGTAGACTTACTCTTTGAGTAAAAGGATCCCTCCTCAAATATGTAGACTTATTCTTTACTTCAACTACACAATCTCATGATTTATCTATCCAAATACACAAAAATATTGTTCATAGCGTGAATTTAGTTTTTCCAACCCCAAATTCATCACTTTTTTAATAATATTTTTACCAAACTTGTTTAAAATTTGGTTACTTAACCAACTAAAAATTTAGCGTCTTTTTTAGTAATATTTATATTAAATAAATAATAAAATTATTTGTTTATTTAATTTCTTATGAATTTCAATTTTAAATGAAATGAGTTTTAAATTTTGTATATATAGAAACAAGAGTGTAATTTAAATGTTGTAGGTGATCAGTTTTGTAATTTAACAAATGAAGAATGATAGTATAATACTTTCATCTCTTAAAAAAGTATAATTAATGTTAACAATATTAAGTTTAAGAGATAAAATTGTACTTTCTATGGTTATTATTATAAGACACGATTTATTAAAAAAAATTAACCTTTTTTATAAAATACTTTATAATTTCTATAAAACATTAACTTTATTTTCATGTGTTTATCTTTATTAAAGATTGCGAGAGTGTATTTTTTCCTTATCTTTTAGATTCTCAAACTGTCATTTATCATTTTTATTAGTATCGATGTATAAACATTTATATTAAGTAGTATCTTCATCCCTCTCATAGAAATTTAATGATAAGTAAAATATGATTTTATTTATAAAGTCTTAGCCTATGTGTTGATGGAGGTGATTTAATAGGAGGAGGATTGAATAGAAGGGATTTGATATATATATATATATTTGTGTTTGGTAGAGGGTATTTAAGGATAATGGTGAAGAATTGAAAGTGAGCCCCCACATCATTTTTTTATACGCTCTTCAATCAGGGAATTTTTGTGGATTTTGAAAAATATGTAAAATTACATATAAAAAAATATTAATTTTAACTATATTATAAATTGAGGGTAAAATAATAATTGTAAATACTAAATTTATTCCAATTATAACTTAATTTTACTTTACCAAACAACTACAAATTTCATTCTATTTCACTTAATTTCTTACTTAATTTCTATCAAATCAATTCTCACTTATTATTTTTTATTCTCTTCTATTCCTTTCTCTCCCTAAACAAAGCCTTATAATAAAATCAAAAGGAGTATATTTTAATATATGAGTGACATTTTTATCTCTCACGAAAAAATAATGTAATTTATGTTAAATTGTATAATTAAAAATACTAAAAAATAAATATTTAAAATCAAAATATATTTTCATTTTTCCATTTTAAAATCAAAATAAATAAAATTTAAAATTTTCCCATTTAGAATTCGGGTTTAAGGACTCTGAATCCTCCGTAAGATTTTCAATTGTGAATTTGAGTTTTATAATCCCAAATTTATACTTAAACATTGAAAGAGAGACATTGTTAAATATAATTTAATGGAAGAACTACTTAAATAGATTAAATGTTATAAGAGGTTAATTTTGTAAAAAAAACTCAAAAATAATCCATTGAACCTTCATTCTATTGAAATTGGTCTAAAGAAATCGACGTAAAAATGATTAATACATTGAAATCAGATCAAAAATATCAATTAAAAAAGATAGATTTAAAATTGTATAACTTATTATAAGCTTTTTATCCGGCACAAAAATTACTAAAAATTGCTTTCAATTCAAAATCAAGTCTAAATCCATATTCAAATCTTGAACTGAAAATGAAATGTGTTCATATGGATTCAATGTAGAAGCACTCATGAAAAATGGATTAAGGTCGCAAGTTAATGGAATGTAACCAAACCACACATGACTAGTATACAGAAAGTATGGTCCCCTTTAGTTTTTGTCATCGTTTTGTTTCCTCCTAAGTCAAATTGAAATGGCAAAGAGGTAAAGGGATATGTTGAAGCATGGGTTGACTTCACATGTAGATGTAGGCATAGTCATAGTATTGGCAGAGCACGAGGTAAGAGGTTGTCAATGGTAACACACGTGCTTGAAGGAGAAGCCATAATCATAATCTTAAATAGGCAAGGCCACACCAACCATCATAAAATTCACTCACACACAACACAATCATCACCATTCATAAAAACCCCATCATTTCACAGTTTCCAATTCCTGATATAATTTGTACTTCGCCTAGGAATAGATAGAAATAAGTTTAATTACAATATAGGGCTTTTGAATTTACTATAAAATATTTTAAAACACGATAATCATTTTTTTAATAAGAAGATATAATTCATTTTTTCTGAGTTAGTCCTTACAAGATTAAAGTGATAGTTTGATGATTAAAGTGATAGTTTCAAACTGTGATTTCATAATTAAAGTGAGAATTGAACTCTAGTATTTAATTATAAATAAATATTAAATTATTTGAGTCATCGACTTTTAGTACATATTAACTATTTTATTTATATAAAATGATAAGTATATTACTTAATAAAATTATATACTTAAAAATAATCTATTTTTATTTAAAAAAAATTATCATCTTAATTATTTTAATATTTTTATTTCATTAACCACTAATATTAAACTAATTAGAGTTACTAACAGGAATAAAAAAAGAAAAGTAACAACATAAGATAAATTTAAAAATGACAATCTTTTTAAAGACTAAAACGAGACAAAATGCCTATTTGTTTATACTAAAAAAAGATATTTATAAAGAAGTGATTTATTTTTAAGTGATTTATAAATAAGTAAAAACTACTTATGTGTTTATTTACGAACGAAAAAAGAAACTTTTTAATTGAAATCACTTTCCTTGTATTTTATCTTTCTTCTCCCTCTTCTATTGCAACCTTTTTTTATATATAAAAAAAATTCTGCTTTTTTTTTTCTGCTTCTGTTTTTTTTTTAAGTTTATCTTAACATGTAAAAATTCTTGATAAGTAATTATTTTATTAAAAAAGTGTTTTTTTTTCCTAAAAAAAATTAAGCAAATACATCTAGAGTCATAACTAGAAACACTCAATACATATTTGATCTAATAATATAGTTAAAAACAATTATATATTTACAAAATTGAGTAATTCTTATAAACTGAGCATGCAATATACAACCTTCTTTTTATGTGTTGTATATTGCAACCAAAATTCTTTGACCATTTCTTTGGGCGATAGCTAAGTTGATAATCACGAGATTCACGACCAGTTACTACAAATTCCTATATTAAACGGCTTCACTGCATTGCATCCCTAACACCATTGACTTGTTAAAATCCAACTTTCAAAGCCATCATTGCGAAGCAGTCCATGATTCAGAACTGAAAGCTACAAATTGCAATACTGTAGCTCGTCCCTTACGAATTAGTGTTCGCTCAACTAATACAATAAAAAGGTATCAAGAAGCTTTTACTTCTAAGTTTAAATAATGTCATCATCATCCATGTCTTGAAGGCTTATAACATGCCCTGAAGTTGAAATGAAACAATCTCACCAAAAAATATTAAAATATTTAATATTATTTGGTCTTCCTATTGATTTTTTACATACTTTCTTTTACCGAAAAATGAAACATGCTATAATTTAATCTATTTTATTATAAATAAATCATTCAACAATGGTGAGTAACATTGCTCCAACTTCCTAAATATTTTTTTTCCACCATCAAATGCATGCATCAACATCAACATTCATCTGGTACAGGGTTGACATAGTAATCTCGAATTCGAATTCTAATTAAAAAATTATATTTTTCCTCTATTATCCTTAACAACCAATAATTAATATATTGAATTTCATAATATTAATTTTAAGATTTGATAAAATAAAGTTTTAAATACTTATTTCCGCCTTTTAAAATTATTCAAAAACATTCAGTTTACCTTTTTAAAATCTAAAAAATGATAGTACTGATGATGCTAAAAACTACATAAAGAAAAACTCTTCCTAAAAATATTCTTTTATGTTAAAATTGAATAAAGTCTTACAAATAACATTCTCTCAAGAGAGTAATTTTTTAAAATAGAAACTGGGGTCATTTTAATATATCTATCGAAGCGGGAAAAAAAAAACGTAGCATTTCCCTTTAGCAGCAGACTAGACAAATCTGATCTTTGGTTTTCACCTATTTTTTGACCCATTGAACTTCACATAGAGGACTTGGCTTCAAACAGTGTGGCTGTACCAATATACAGCTACGGTAGCCAAGTTTACAATATGTAAGAGAGTGCATGCACTGCGTGGATAACATTGATTAACAAAAATGGCGAGGAGGGGAAGTGTTCTAAAAAGTGCCATAAAGAACTTCCATTATGGCCGAGTTGAACTAGCTTATAACTTGTGTGCAATAGTAAGCCATGATAAATAATTCAGATAAATTGACTTCATTAGAACAAGAAGGTGCAATGTGTGATATTCAATTAATTCAAAGCATAGATAAATATCCAAGTTTACAAAATACAGATTCAGTTAATCAGAATCTCCACATTAATGGCTCAGTACCAAAGCGATGACATATTCTGATCAGCTACCATACAGATTTAAAGGTATAAAAATTTCACTTAGGCCCCATCTGGCTGTATAAAGGGGTTGGCGATCTCATCTGTACCATCAGTTGGGGACACAAGCATGACAGCAGTTCCTCTACAAACCTGCATGGCAATAATAAAATAAGTTCCCAGGATAGTGACAAATGTTCATTGCTAAGCCAAAATAATTCAAACTGATGAAAGAAAAATGACAGAATAGTTCAAAAAAGCTAGTAGAAGAAGTGCTTATAGACTAGTCATGTGAATTTTCAAGTTTATTTTTCTTGTAGGAAATGCTTTTATGTTGTGATTGTGATAAGTTGATATAGAAATTAAAATATACTGAATATGATTATCCGAGAAATCAGAGAGAAAAGCTCCAAAAATTACTCTGATAACAGAATACTCAAAAAAGGAAAGAAAATATGTCTGTCACTGGAATCAACCAATTGGTAAACCCAACCCTCCCTTTATTTTATTCTAATTCTCCAATCTCCTCACTCCCACACACCTATGCCACCAGACACCATTCAGAGATGATTTTCTCTCTCTCTGCTAACCAAAATTTCCCCTTCTTGCTCCTTTAGTTATTCTTTTTTCCCTCTCATAAACTAGCAGGCCTTTGCTGCTATTGAACCCAACATAGTTTCCCTTTTCCATACATGTGTGTTAAGCGCCTATGATAAGTACTTTATAAAGGCAGTGACGCAGAGTACATTCCTAGTTTTATAAAAATTAAACATTCAGCATATATATAAATAAATAAAACTGAATATGGAGTAAAAATACAGCTTTTCACTCTCGATAAACAATGAACACGGTCAAAAATTCAAAATCTGTCAACTGTTTTATTAAATAAGAAATATTTTCTTAATAGAAAATTACAGTCAAACAAATTTTAAATTTCTTTTCTTACACCTCTCCTAATGCACTTAGATGACATGCTCTTATTAGACTTCAACTTATTGTTTTTAGGTTACAATTAGAACCAACAAAGAGATCAAGGGAGTCTTGAAAATGAAAGATGATGCTTATGTTTTGAAAGACTATATAATTGATCACTCCTACATGCTTGGACTGTAATTCTAACCAATTAACTTGATATTTTTCTTACAAATACAAAATAAATATTATGAGAACCCGATGTTTAAACTTCCCTAGAAACTCACAAGGGAAGATGCAAAATTTCAATGAAGCATGACATTCACAATAGCTAGGCCGAACATAAGAAATAAGAGTGAAGTTAACACTGGTGTATCAGTAAAGTGCAAAAGAAAAGATAAGAAATTTATGTGTGAATAGTTAGTTCATCCTACCTACATTTCATTGTGAATAATCATTTGGCAAAACATTGATTTGGTATTTTAGTTTTTCTCCAAAATATAAAACAGCCTAAAAAATAAGAATTTTATATTACAGGGTAAATGTGAAACGCATAAATAATGATTTCCCATTTCCAGGTGTTCATTTGTGCTCACATTTTTATAAGCTCTCATTAATTTAGTTTTATACAGTTTATCTCTATAACAGATGATCTGCCCCTTTTTCTCTATTTCAACTAAACTTTCAGCTGAGGGAGAAAAATCAGCAGGTTTCAAATAAAATAGTTTACACTTAACACATCCATGCATGTTGTGTAAATTCTCAGCATGGATCAGTAGCAAGCTTTAATGAAGCCAGAAGGTACAATTTTGACACTCATTTGATGTGTATAGGAAAACTTACAATTAAGCCAAGCTGTCTGGTTTGATCGGTAGTTTTCAGAGGATCATCAGCATCTGCAACACAAGGGACATATACAAACTTCTTTTAAAAAAAATGAAATGGCAGATAATTTTTAATAATTAGCTAAAATGTTATTTTTTGTAGTGGAGATTATAAACAAGCATAATGCTCATAGTAGGGTCACAAAAGTATATGAACTATGAAACTAAATCAGCTCTTTTTACACATACAATAGTACAATTATGAGTATAGTAGCATTGGCATGTCATGTCCATCTAAGAGTGCTTAAGAATTTGTCTCTGCACTGTACTGAACAAATTCTGTAAGGAAAATCCACTTTGAATTTTTTAGTTGACTCATTAAAGTTGAAATAAAAATAAGTAAAATGATGCTGAATTCAGTCAGCAAATTAAGAAAATGAATAAATCAAGGGCTTAATTAAAGTGAGAAAAAATTCTAATATTTTCAGATCTTCCACTCTGATGCCTATGTTATTTGGTACTAAAAGTTCAGCACTAAATCTGCACTTAATTTTCATTATTGATATTATCAAACACACCCCAAGTTATTTTAATTGGACCTCTCAATCAGGTAAAGATGAAGATAATATAATCTCACTTGGGGTGTATTTGGGTAAACAACTTAATTAAACATTTATTCAGTAAATTCTCATCAAACGAGAATTTTCATAAGTTTTGTAGCAGAGCTTAATGGAATAAACTAAAAAGAGCTTACTTTGATAAGGTTCATAGTGAAGCACTGAAGCTTATTGAAATAATCAACAAAAAGCTTATAGAAAGATAATAAGATACTTTCATAAGCTTAAATAAGCTCTTTGAAATGCTCCCTTTACCATATAAGCAGTATAAATGACGCTAAAACATGCCATTTTACAGCTCCTTAATCATTTACACATTCAATCTTTCACTCCCAGAGTCAGTATAAGTATAATCAAGCATCTTGCCATCTTCACAATGTAAAGACAAACCATCAATAGAACTAAATTCTTTCACCTATACTGAGCAAATAATCCATCGAATCAGCAAAAATTAGGTTAAAACTCAAATACTTTGCCCCTAGCCCCAAAAGAAAAACGTTATATCTTATCACTTAGCAGGCTATACCAAAGTTTACTGAAAAGGCCAAAAAAGTTGCAATATTTATTCAATCACAAACACAATAACAAAGTAACAGCTACAGTCTACAGATAATGCAGTACACATATCATTAAATCAATGAATAGAAAAACAAGATCCTGATGCTACCTAGTTACCTCTTAGAAACTCCACAGCTTCATCTAGGACAAGGTTAAGCAACTGATCATACCCTTTTAGAGTCCCTGTCACTGCAATCCAACAAAACAAAACATAACTAAAAAAATATACATGTAGAAGAGTTCACTAGCATCTTAATTATTAAAGATAACTCTCACTTGAGTACTCAATTTACAACGAATGTCATACTTCCACAGTCATTTTAAACAACCAATAAATAAACAATCATTAACAAGTTTAACAAATAATCACAATCACCCATGTAATTGTTGTTCAAAAGATAAATAATAAAAAAAGGGAATTGGGTAACCTAACCTTGTCTGCCACCAGTAAGCTTAACTTGAACGCCTTTGTCTACAAACTTTGCAAGGTCCAGAACCGTTTCTTTTCTGCCCGACTGATAAGATTTTAAGGGGAGAAAAAATTGAACGAGGGAACAAAAAAAAACATTGAAAGCAACACATAAATGAAAAACGGGACAAAGCCCTAAAAGAAAACAGAGATGAAATGGGTTTGGAATAGAAGATGTGATTGGGGTTTGGTGAAACTTACCATTGCCTTAATTGGAGTATTTGGACTTGTTTCGGTGCTCCTTTGTGTCAGTGTGACACGCGAAAGGGGAGAGAGAGAATGGGTTTGAACAGAAGAGGGAGGTACCTTAGAGTTTGAGGAGAAGAGTGAAGGAATGCCAAGTGCACCCAATATATTCTTCTTCCACTGAAAGCCCCAAAAGGAAACAATTTTGAATCAAAATAAAACCTAAATATTAGAAAGTTTTTTATTTATTGCCAAAATTCATCCAAACGTTCGTGACGGAAAACTTTTAAAATGAATTATTTTAATTTCTTAAATGTATAATAAATTTTATACTACGTCTGGATACGAAAAAATGGAAAAGGAAAAATAAAGCGAAAATAATTTTAAAAAGATAAAATTTAAGAAATAATTATCCTTCATTTGTTGAATTAAAAAATGAAGGAAAATAAATTGACCGAGGTAGCAAAAATTTATAGAATTCCTTTTTTTATTTAAATATCGATTGAGTTTTATGATTTTATATATGTGAACTAGTATTTTTTTGTAAGTGTTGACGTGCATTTCACAAGTCAAATATTTTTTATATAAAATTAAATTTATAATAAATTATATATAAATAATTATTATATTTAAGTATATAAAATATTTTTTGAATTTGTACAAATAAATACTTTTAAACATGTGAATCATTATTTTTATTTAAGATAAATAATTTATATTGTGATATAAGATTATTTTTAGTTAGTGATATTTTATTTTAAAAATATTAAATTTTAATCATAAATAATATGATAAATAAATAAATAATTGAATTCGATAAAAAGTTAAAAGAATTTCTAAAATACACTCCTGTTGAATTATGACTCCTATAAATGTTTCTTGTATAATATATAGTTTGTTCATATTTAATATATAGAAATATAGAAATTGATTTAATAAGATATGTTTACATCTTGTAATAATTCAAAATTGTGTATTGACCATTGATTTGGAAGAGCCTAATTGACCAAATTCTAAAAGATAAAAAAGATCAAATAAATCTTTTGAAAGATAAATGGTTAAAATAAATCTAAAAAAAATAAGATAAAGAAAAAATATAAGAATGATGATACATGCACGATAACTTCTATTGAGAGTGTTAGTGGATCAAGTTAGATTGGATTTCATTTAGATGGATTAATTATCTCACTCAATTAAAATTCAACTGATTGTGTTAAGTCAAATTTGTGCAATTTTTTTTAATTCAATTCAATCAAACCTAATTAAGAAAAAGTTAAGTTTGGTTAGTTCAATCGAATTAATATAATTAAATTTATTTTTTTATAAAAATTTAAATATTTCATAATAGAAATAAATAATTTAATATTTTGTTGTAAATGTAATGTTATCAACTCATAAAATAAAGGAATAAAGATATTTAGCCTCCTTAAATTTTACACTTTTTACAAATAGACATCACAAAATATCAAGATGTGCTCATTAAAAGTTCGCAACTCACACATTTAGTAAAAGAGACATGTCAAACAATATGCTTTTGATTTTTAAATTTTCTCTATTAACTGTAAGAATAACTTGACATATATATA